TGGGAGCATCAATTTCAAATTTTAGGTTGTTTACTTACTATGCGTCACCTAATGTGCATTTTAATACAAATTTGTTTGATGACCTGATAAGTTCATCATCGAGTATTCTCCTCGGAGATTTAAACGCTAAGAGCAGCTTGTGGGGACATTTGAATTCCAACCCGAGAGGCCTACATATAGAATCACATCTTGATGACGGTTCTATTTTTCTACTAAATGATGACACCCCTACCCATTTGTTTATTCGTAATGGTGTTCTGTATAAAAACATACCAGATCTTGCTATCATAACTCCGAACCTAGCCCCTTTTTGCTTATCTTTCGAAGTTTGTCGACTATGGTCTTCACCTGGCCACTTGCCTATTATTGTTGATGTAAACTTCTTTCTTGACACAAATGTACATTCTGTTTCTCAGTGTTTTTTCGCCAAACGTACGAACTGGTGTGTGTTTAGTGAGAGTCATAGAGTCATAGTCATATCAGAGAAGGATTTTACCAGGAATAAAACAAGATTAGTCAGAATCCTCAACTGATAAATTCTGCCAAGCTTCGGTCAGTATCCTGCTCTGGACTGCTCAAGAACAGGCATTTCGAATCCTTAAAAAAGAGTACAAGTATGATCAGGATCTTGATGAGATAATACAAGGATCTAGTTAAGATCTTTGCAAGTTTGTGGTTAGAGAATATTTAGACTTTGATTTTCAGGATCTTATCAAGGTTTATAACTAATTCTGTTCAGGAACCTGGCAAGGACGGATGGAGCTCACCTTTTTAGCTAGGTTCAGGTCAGGATCCGTTCAAGATTTATAAATCTATAGATTACAACAGAATTTCGATACCCATGTTGAGCATGTATATAAACTGAAGGTATGTAAACTGAAGGTCTAGAGATCGCTACTCTATGTGTTCATTGCCCTTCTGTTCTATTTAGAAAGTTCTGTCAAGAAATTTAATAACATCTTCGAGGTAATAAATCCTGAAAGATGTTATCAGAAATCTTTTTTTTCCCAATTAGGAATTATTGAAATCCTGACAGGATCCTACAATTTCGTGGCTACACACTTCAGGAATCATCGGTTTCCTGGCTCAATTCCGGTGCAAAAACAAAGGTAAACTTGTCAGGATCCTTGAAAATCTTGTTTTGAATCCTGACAGGATCCTGAAATTTCGTGGCTACACACTTCTTTCCGGATTTAGTCGTTTTCTCAGGAAAAAAGAGCGAATCCTTGCAGAATCCTTATCATATCTGTCAAGGATCTGGCGCTGAAACATCAGAGATTTTCCCTATGGATGTTTCATGCAATGCCGGCAAGTACCAGTAATACTGTTCAGTATATCTAAAAATGTTAATTTTATTAATGGGTGTCATTTTTAAAATTGCTGTGATAAGACCAGCAGCTATTCTAAGATTCATACGTTATTTTCCTTTATTATTTATTTATTCGACGTTTCGAAAAAAATTTTTACATACCGGTTATATACCGAAAATATTGGCTGCATACCGAAACTGTTTTTTCCCCCTTGTACAAAAGTCATTTTACTACTATACGAGAACACAGTCCAGCTGGTAAGCTGCTCAGTTCATCAATTGAAGGTCAAGAGATCAATACTCTATGTGTTCACATTTCTTCTGTTCTGTTTAGAAAATCCTGCAACGATCCTGATCAAGTTCTGCCACGACACTGCTAAGTTCTGCTCTTGTAATACATGCTAACTCAATCTTATCCAGCTAATCTCAGCAGATTTCTGGCGCATTCCTTCGAGAAACTTAGATGAAAGTCTAGTGGAATTCGACATTATTCTCGAAGGATCCTGGAAAACTTTTTTCGCAAGATATTGAATAATCCCGAAAAAACTTGGCAGAACCTTTAAAAAAACTTGTTTTGAATTCTGTCAAGATCTCGAAATTTCGTGGCTACACGCTTCCTCCAGGATTTAGTCGTTTCCTGACTGAATCTTGGTTCAAAAATAATGATAAACCTGTTAGGATCCTTGAAAATCTTGTTGTCAGTCCTGTTAGGATCATGAGATTTCGTGGCCACACGCTTCCTCCAGGATTTGAGGGTTTCCTGGCTAAATCCTGGTTGAAACTCAATGGTTAACCTGTTAGGATCATGAGATTTCGTGGCCACACGCTTCCTCCAGGATTTGAGGGTTTCCTGGCTAAATCCTGGTTGAAACTCAATGGTTAACCTGTTAGGATCCTTGAAAGTCCTAGTTTGAATCCTGTCAGGATTCTGAAATTCCGTGGCTACACGCTTCATTAAGGATTTAGTCGTTTCCCCAGGAAAAAAGCGTGAATCCTTGCAGGATCCTTATTATATCTGTCAAGGATCTGGTGCTGATACATCAAAGATTTTCCCGAGGGTATCTTCGTGTATTCGAAGTTAATGGGCAACAGTGTCCACTGTTCGACAGCAGTCAAAGAGTTAATAGTAGTAAAAAGAAATTCGATTACATAATGATTATTATCAAGGCAACAGAACGAATATGCACCTGACGAGCAAAAGAACACGAATCTATCGAACATTAGGTATTTGACTTAGGATAATTATGTAAGAAAACATTATGGATTCATCTATTATATAAAAGTGTTAAAGCTGTAAGCATATACGGAAGGAGACGGATTTTAAGTGCAAGCTATTGAGTTTATGTATAGAACAAAAGACTGTGATGTTGACGTCGTTGTTTATGTGTTGCTACGCGCATTTTTTAAAAAAACGGCCTGTTTATTTGCTATAACTGAATCACCGTAGTATTTTGTTATTGAGATACTATATAAGAAAGAACAAAAATCAATGATACTTTGACAAAAAGATGATATAAACTTTTCTTCCTTCCATTTAAAGAAGAACAAGATTAAAAGTGAGAGACTAGAGCAGTCTCAAATTGCTGAATCAGTTCTTGAAAAAACGAAGAAATTTCTCAGTTTTCTTCAGGGGGCAGATTGAAATCCTTAGAGTGTCAGTTCTAGGAAAAAAGTTATGCTAATCTTCCGCGAAGAAGGCTATTGCTCGACTTTTATAATGTAATTTAATTCTGAGCAGTTAATTTATTTGTTTTATGCAATCTATATTAATATCGAAAAGAATAATAAATACTGATGCAACATAGACTCATGTCGCTGTGAAAACTGTCTGTCAACGTGGTGTTTACAGAACAATAACCTGTTGTTAACGATACCATATTCATTAACCTGGCTACACATTTATTCATGACACGACTCGTCTGCGAATAGAACACTGACTCTTCACAAACCTAAATTAAAAGTTGCGACAGAGTCAGTGAATCGTAGTGTTAAATATTTATGGAGAGTTTAAGTAATAGGCGAATGGACTTTACACACAGATAAATGAGTAATAGAATATAGCTGTAAACTGTTTAAGGTCGGGTTGAAACTAAAAATGGGTATTACATTGGCTGATTAATCAAACATTTTGTCACTCAATTCCCAAAGGATCTTTTTGATACCAAAAATTTCCTTTTCGTAAAAATGCGTAAAAATTGACATTTCGGACGTTTAATACGTGTGAATACATTAAATTAATAAAAAAACAATTTTAACGCCTTCGCTCCCCTCAAAAGTTAATGCACTTAGGAGCCTTAAATTTTTTAATTTTGCTAACGCATTTTTAAAATCTCACTGTTAGTTATACTCATTTGAAGCTAGACTGGACTAAGCTGTACTCAATTGCGTAACTGTCTAAATCGTCCGGGTGTAGGAAAAAAGCTAATAGATAACAAAAAGACTAATAACAACGAAAATTTGATAAAATATAATGGACGCAATTTTTTAATCCTGCTAATCAGATGAGAAGTTTCAAGTGCAATAAACAGTGAATTGCCAGTCACAGTCACATAAATTATTTTTTCCTCTTATTGAGGCATGTCTGAGTTGCGTTTCTTGTAAATGTACAACAATTTGTGGTAAAATATTTATTTCTTGAAATACGGCTAATTCATCATATAAAGCATTATCTATACCATTTACTGGTGGTCGATAATCGATTGTATTTGGATTATTATCAGCTGCGGCCACGGGAATGTAATGACATTGATAATTTTGGTGAGTTCCTTTACCATAAAAACGAAATGTGGAGGATGGTACATTAGGAGGTGCATCATCAGTTACGATAGGAAATGGATTTAAAATTAAAATATAACACATAATAAGACAGTTACCATAACGTCGAGCATATTTAGCCGACGCTGTAAAATACATGGCTTTTCCATACCATCCGTTGTCGTTTTTCCCTAATGTAGCAAAACCATTTGTTAGCAATGATGGTAAACTGGCACGATGATATCCGTGCCACATACGAGCCATTCGCACTTGACGATTGTGTGATACTTGTTTACATACCTTATCTAAACGTTCCAGAACAAATTTTCGTTCTTCGAGAGAACTTTCATCTGATAAATCTGGTTGAAAATCTAGTTGATCTTGACGATCTTCAATACAATGTAGTTGATGCAAAAAAGCACGGTACCGGCCAGAATTAAATACAATTTCGATCTTATCAATTTTATCACTCCGACATAATGTACCAAGCCAGTTGTAAACTAAAGAGGTAATCCTTTTATATTTTGGATTACTGTCGTCCTGTTTCAATATGCAAGACGCAACATTTCTATATGTTGATTCTTTCAGTTCATCTTCACCCATCAATGGTGTAAAATCGCCTGTAAATTGCCCATAAAATGCTTTTCTTATTTCTTCTTTTATTGTTGTTAAACCCTTATTTGAAGATATATCAGGCATGTCTAATATTGATCCTTTTATTTTCTCTAATTCTGTTAAAATACGTTGTACGGGTATACATCTTTTAATACCTAAAATTGTTTAGGGCTTGCTCATCGATCTTGGTTAATAAAAATCGACCGTTAATTTGATGTTGTCGAAAATATTCTGTGTATTGGTGATAGTCGTTGCCCAATGACTGTAACCACTCACAAACTGCTTCAGTTGACCAGTTGTGATAATCAGGTAACATTATAGCTAAAGAAAAGAGCTCATTAGCACGGTCACTTGCGGAGCTAAAATATAAAACTCCTCCGGTCAGCCTTTACACCTCTTCCCATGAACGATGTTCAATCTATGAGTAGTCAAACTGAGGAATCCTCGTTTAACACTACTTTTGTTAAGCAAGTGGTTTTTTTTTATAACAGATGCTGCTGGCTTTGAGATGCGCGAAATTAGTTTCTAATGCAAAATGTATAGCTTTTCCTTTTTTATAGTACAAACAGAACACATGTTGCAGGAGTACTTATAGTTTTGAGTACTTTAATTCTATTATTTTGAATTAGTTTGCTTGGTGTTGATCTGCTGCTTCTTCACGTTCATGATGATTGACAAGATTCAGAATGTACATAAATTTGTTGGCGAAGTGGAACATTTGTTAAATCATATGGTCAACGTGGTACTCTCAGAGATCAATGTTTATCCGATGTGCAGACACGGACGAGTATGCGAACAAGACACAGTGGGCATCCCAGGCAGAAATTAGGTGAAAAATCGAAGTTGCTCCTAATTCAAATACAAATAGTGGAAAATGTAGCCCTTTCAAAGGGCTATCGAATGGTATATAAATGTCTATTTTGAAAATGGTTCTTACGACGAGAAATCACAGTACACAAAACCGATTACTGATATCGTTACTACATACGAAATAAAGATTCTTTGCTTACTCAATTCCGTTACGCGATTTCAAAGCAGATATTCAGAACCAGCACGTCTTCAGCTATCTACTGATAACAATATTTCTATTTCGCACCGAATTCAATAAGTAAGAGCGACATGTTCTCCATCACGTCAGTCCGTGGTAATAGTACTCCAGTATAGTCGGGTCGTCCTCGTTAGCCCCACGCGAAAATAACATTCAAACACATCAGAATGTTCCTCAAACGCTACTCTATGTATTCTAAAATCGCAAAATCTCGCATATTTTCCAAGGAGGTTTTATGGATTTTCCAAAATCCCAAGGGGGTTTTCGCGTATTTCACATTTTTCTCTCTCACCAAAGCACTTTTCGTACAAATAATGCCATATTCGGAATCAGCGTGAAAAATTACATCGAATGATATATAGTTTTTTAATTTTTCTGCAGAAATATTTTCGGTCAAACTGAATTATACAGTTGAAAGCCTGTCCGCAGCAAATTTTGCTTAGGAAGTTGGATATTTATTTTAGCAATAGTACGCAAGTGTATAAACACATTTTTTAAAAGGGATCCTCCATATCTCTAGAACAAGAAGTAACTGTCACAATGCACAATATTGCAAGTTAGCTCATAACACCTCAGCGCAGCCTCTGTATAACTTCTAGTCACAGAGGTTCCGTTCTCCGTCCTACAATGGACTTAAGCTTACATGCCTCATCTTTCGCAACCTTTACAGGAGATTCACAAAATATCGCACATATTATATTCAGAGATCTTTCGAAGTAGTTAAGATGACATTTCGATTAGCCTCCATCCAGACTGATCAGTACGAACGCTATTCGATCGGTTATCATCCACTGCTTTTCTTCGCCAACCAAAAAAACAACTCTAAAAGACTTACGGTCGGGGGATGGTTGCGTTGTTAGGCTTTTCGGTGGTTGTGCAGGTACTAGAATAGCTGGTGGTAAATCTAGGAGGAATACGGGTAAATATGTTAGACGGAATGATTTATAATATTATTTAGGAACGTGGCCAGACTGAGTTGGGGTGAGGGGTATATTACCAGTTTTTTTATAGTTTTTCCATTTATTAATCACATATTCTTTTGTTGCTGTTTCACTAGCTTTCATTTGTTGGACAGTTTGTCTGAATATCACTCTTTGTTCATCGTCTAAAATGTGCCCAAAGAAATGAAAATAACGATGAGTAATATAATTAGGATTGATTGGGAATTTAAAAGGCGTTCTTTCGCGATCATTCTAGTTAAACTTTCTTTGGTTTTTCTGAAAGTTTTCGAGGTCGCAAAAAGTGACTCAGTTTCGCTGAATGTTTCGAATAAACTTTCGACTTCCCTCCCTTTATGATCATATAGCCCAAAGTGTCCTCCATTGATCTGCGCAAATAGGTACTCGCTGGCTGTCATAGTTATGGGGAAGGTTCAGTTTCATTGAGGCTCAACGGATCGCTTACAGCAGTCAGTACTCTTAACAGAACTGAAAATATAGCTCATCAACCAAATTCAATATGACGGCATTATTTGTTGTGCTACGCCACGCGACTATCAAAGTTTTCCAAGGGACATCATTTCTACTAATTACCAGCATACGCTAAAAGTCTATAACGCAGTCCAGTTTTTATGAAACTGATACTGCTTAACACCAGAATTTAGTTTCAGGAGATCTTCTTGAAGTATGGTGGTAACTGGTGAAGAAGAGGATCCTACAGATATTTTGAATATACGAACACTCCTTTCAAAACTCGTGAAACACATCATCGAAAACCCCACTTTTAAAGCATTGTGTCCCGGAAAAGGTGCGACCAGGTCTTGGGCATCTAATGATGAGAAACGAAGATCTTAAGTACCTCACATTAAGTTATTTTAAAATATTCAGATGCGTCGTCTTTGATAGGATAGTAATTGAAGCTGATTACCTGCTTGAGCCGTCATATCTACAGACGTTTACAATACCGTGGTTTCTTGTATTGAAAATTAACTGGTATTAAATGTTTACTTATAGATAAAGAAATCAATCATATCTAAAAATGTGTAGATATTTTTGTACATTCCTCCATAATGAGTCTATACCATACTCATCAATCAAATCCTTGTTGGCTTTTTCCTCGTAGATAAATAAAACAATATCAAAGTTACTACATAGTTTTTATTACATATTTTAATCACTATGTAAATATGCAGGTGCTGACAGAAAACAAAAAAAAATGAGAATGAGTTTTCTTTTCATCTTTCCTATAAGATTTTCGGTAAAGTACACGCATAGAAATAAAAAAGAATTTTATTAAAGCCAATAATAATCGTATGCACACAACAATAAGTGATTTTTATTTCAAAAATCGAAACTTTCGATTACAATCTATACTCACCATCACACAGTGGGCATTTTTTGCCAGAGCATATTTGGAGGGAAGTGCATTTATAAGCGAGAAAACCATGAAATACCCCGAAAACCGTATGGGTTTTGAAAAATCGATAATTCGACTTAGATAAAAAGTCGCATGCACTGTAGATAGAGTGGGTGTTCGGAAACATATTGATATATTTTATTGTTATTTTCGAGGTCAGAAAAACCGTGGAACTCGACTATATTGAGGTCGTGTCAGTTCGAATGAAACTGGGTATACTCCGATTCTTTAGTGAATTCGATATGGAAATGTAGACATTTTTATATCAATAGATAGGTGAGGGCATGCTGATTCCGAATATATCCTTTCCAATCGTTCAAAGCAGCTGTGTGAAGAAAAAATTACATTTTTGTGCATACATGTCATGGTTTTCGATATTCGTATTGCAGTTGTCGTGTCCTTCTTTCTCCACTTAGGAGTGAACATCAAAATAGACATTCATATACCATTCGATAGAGAATTCTTAGGGCTACATTTTACACTATTTATATTTGGAAAAAGAACAAATCGACTTTTTCGCCTTATGTCCGCTTGGATGCCCACTGTGCATCAGCTATAGTTTACAATAAAGAACACGCAACTAGAGCCATTCGTCGCAATTACATTACGAAAAAATTCAGGCTGACTATTTTGCAATTCGTAAAGTCATTTTTTGAACATGAAAATTTTATTTTTAAGTTCCCGAGTAGAAGAGACTGAGGTGGTGCAACAGTAACGCTTAGCAAGGCGGCAAGTTTTGACGCGTTTACATTTAACGCGTTTAGCAGGACGATTTTACAATAAATTGACGCGTTCGGAAGAGTTTAACTTGTGGGTGATTCCACCGGAAATCTGACACGTTTGCAGCGATATCTTCCAAATCGAATTTCAATACGATATTCGTGTTCAGCATAGTCGATAACCTCACTTTGGTGACAAAAGATCCTCTCTATCTCGCTTTCGAAAATAATGAAAAATGCACCTAAACAGTAGTCAAATTGAGACAGCTGATTTCATTTAACGATATCAGTTCCATTTTAAAAGTGACTTATCAACATTTTTATATCAGCGAATAGAGCATGAAAAACTGATTCTAAAACATGCCTCCTATGCTTCATGTGCTGTCTCATAAGTGAACGCGGTAACTCGAAAGGATACGAAGAATTACCAAATGTCCATCGATATCTCATCAACGCAGAATTTAGGAACATAGTGACATATCAGGTTTTGTAGAGCGTCACTGCTCTAGAAAACTGTGGAGTTAACTTTTTAGGGGACCTCGAAAAAGGCATCCAGTTTTCTCCAAAAAGGTTAAAATATGCCATTTTTCGTCAAAAATGGCGCTTTTACTGTTTTACAGCATATTTTAAGATTTTTGGATGCCGTTTTCGAAGTCCCCTAAAAAGTTAACTCCACAGTTTTATAGAGCAAGTGACGCTCTACAAAACCTGATATGTCACTATGTTCCTAAATTCTGCGTTGATGAGATATCGATGGACATTTGGTAATTCTTCGTATCCTTTCGAGTTACCGCGTTCGCTTATGAGACAGCACATGAAGCATAGGAAGCATGTTTTAGAATCAGTTTTTCATGCTCTGTTCGCTGATATAAAAATGTTGATAAGTCACTTTTAAAACGGAACTGATATCGTTAAATGAAATCAACTGCCACAATTTGACTACAAAAGAATATTTTAACAATATTATCGTTCCATTCCGCGTTCAACTACCATCATTACGTCAGTTACTTCAAAATGACTATTCAACACCACTACCTATTGTTTACATGTGTTCTTTCAATCTATCCACCTTATTATTTCACTCTCGATATCCACCTTCGTTCAATGACATTGTACCTTGTCTGATGATCAACCTGTTGGATGTCGTAAATGTAAACACACACTATTTACCACTTGTCACCATCTAATTGATCAAGACTGGTTTATTTCTTCCACTACTAATCAAATATTCAGTATTCCTTCACTATTACATGTGAAAGTATGAGTTTATGTTGTCTAATTAGTTGTTCAGTATGTCAAGCGCAATATGTAGGTAGTACGGGTACTACTCTGCGAAAACGTCTTAATCATCATTTAACATTGATTCGTCACCAGTATGTTGATGATACGAATTGCGTCAAACACTTTACCTTACCTACTCATTAAAAATTATTATGATTAAAGCTAACTACATCAATGAACAACATCGTCTAGATCGTGAAAAATATTGGACTCCAACAATAAATCCATTTATTAACACAGACAATTGAACTCTCCTCAATGATACTTTTCTCTCATTGGTTCCCTCTTGCCCGTCTGTTCATTCTCTATATCATTTTCTCTTGTAGAGCCTGGACTTTATTTCGATTGAGGCACAGAGATAGAGAGAAAGAGAAATTCTATCTTTAATCAATTTTTCATTCTGTCTGTTATCAATTTGAAAATATTTGTTATTTCCTTTAACAAAACAAGAAACATTCTATTGGTATTATTGATACCTTCATGATAAAAATGTTTATAAAGGAAATTATTCATTTTTAAATTTGTCTTTCAGGAAAACCGATGTACACAGATTATCTGAAATTAGTCTACTTCTTTGTTTTCCATTTAAATGACTGGCAGTTGAAAAACAACTCTCAGAAGGAACACTTGTGGCGGTACTTGCTAGATAACATCTAGCTAATTGTGTTAATAGTGGCAGATTAACTTGATTATTTTTCCAAAATGTTAAAGCATCAGATTGTCTGTCTGTCTTGTCACTTTCTTCAATTTGATTTACTTCACTCAAGGCTTGAGCTCTATATTTTTTAAGTTTCTCATCAATTGTTGATGTTGTGGATAGTTAACACAGTAAATGAATTAGAAGATTTACTTTTTACAGAAGATAAAAATTTTTTAAATAAAGAACTTGCATGTTAGGAGTAGACTGTTGTTGTTGAGACTGTTGTGGTTGACGAAGATGAAGTTAGATTTGAAGAAGAAATATTCATCTGTCTAATAATGTGTCGCAGAAGAAAATAAAAGTTTCCGAAAAGTTAGTATTGGTTTTCTTGGTTGCAATAGTTCAATCTAAAGTTATAAGCATTTTTCTAAGAGCATCAAAAAATCTGCGCTTCTTCTCTTCAGTCTTCCATCTAAATCGATTTCTGACCTCCTGGCATTACGTAATTTCACGATTTCTCCGCTGTTTTACGTGCTAAAAATTCCGGGTTGGACTTGAAATGTAGCCAATACTTGTTTTCACGATATAACAGACCTCGATGTTCTATTTTCATTTTTGTCGCAGAAGAAAATAAAAAGTTTTCGGAGAAATGAAGAAAACCAATGCTAACTTTTCGGAAACTTTTATTTTCTTCTGCGGCAAAAATGTTTAGAGTGCAAGTCACATCAGTACCAGATGATTAATTCTTTGCATTTTGTAGCCTACAACTATGACCGCACAGTGGGCATTTTTTGCTAGAGTAGGCGGACTTTAGCTTTATGAGTGAACCAAAATTTCATAAACCATTTTTTTATAGGTTTTTCATGATCCTCTTTCTAATGACATGATAGTTGGATTTTGAAAAAGTTTTCTAAGAAGTTTTCCAGAGATCCGGTCTCTAGAAAAACCCTTCAGAAAACTTTCTCAATATTTAGAAACGATGCCACTGGAAAGAGCATTGTCGAAAACCTTTCGAGTCGTTCAGGTTACTTTATCTTGAAATTCAAATTTTCAGCACGACATTGTTTGTGTTAATCTCAAAAACTAAGAAATTTCTAGGATTCAAAATCGAGCGACCGAAACTATATGACACCATGCACCAATACACCATTCGATGCAGTTTTTCACGCTGATTCCGAATATGGTATTATTTTTGCCGACGAATGCAATTATAAGAGAGAAAACCATGAAATACTTCAAAAACCATATGGGTTTTGAGAAATCATTATTTTGACTTAGACAAAAAGTTGCATGCACCATAGATAGGGTACATTCACGGGAAAATTTTCGTATTATTAAAATATCCCTTCAAGTTGAGCGGTTTTGAGCGATGTCACTGCTTTGAGATAGAGTCAAACTGGACTACCACTGAGTAAATTCCATACAACGTTATTTATAGAATTCTATTGTGAAGTACACATATTTTCATATTGATAGATAGCCGATGAGATGCTGATTCTGAATAATTGCTTTGAAATTGTCTAGCATATGTGACCAAAGTATTAATCAAGATGTTATGAGCATGTGCCCCATTCTTTGATATCTATTATGCAGCTATTGTTGCCAGGTTTTCTTCTTGAAGAAGTGAATATCAAAATAGACATTTATACACCATTCGATAGAGAATTTCAAGAGCTACATTTTGCACTATTTTGTTTCGGAAAACAAGATATTTCAGTTCTCGTCCAAATTTCCGCTTGGATGCCCACTGTGGACCGGTACAATAACAGGGTTAGATTTCCAATCTTGCAATGTCGTTTTTGATGAGCCAGAAAAACAGTACTGTAAGACGGCAAAAAAAGTTTTTTTAATAAAACTCGAGCACTATTCTTTATTAATTGTTTTTATATATAGTGTTGTACAAAAATATCTGCTCTTTGGAATGGCGTTTGAGCTGGCTCTCTAGTATCAATAGTAAAAAGGCTAGATCACAAACAAAACTCGCGCTTTATTTTTCCCCATCTCGGTAAGTTATAAAATGTTAAAAGTTATGGTTACTCTTCTAGATCTGCAGTATTTCTCGACACGGATTGGAATTGGGTTAGATGAGCAAAGTAGGTGAAAAGCGGGCGGTCAGCTCTCTTTAGACTTGTTCAATCATTTCATTCTTGAATCATGAGTTTTCTCGTTTGAATAAAAAGTAAAATAGCAGTAAGATACAGAACAACTCCGCTTATTGACTATATTTTAATATACCATATTGCGGAAAAATCCTTAGTGAGAAACTTAGTCGAATCTTACTAAGATATTAGAATAGTCTTATTAAGATCTTACTAAGATTTGTCTTACATTTATCCAAGATCTTAGACAACTCTTACTAAGATCGTGAGATCCGAGGATTTTGAGATTTTATAAGGTTTTGCTAAGATCTTACCCAGATTATATTGTCTAAGGTTTTTTAGGATTGAATAAGAATCCGTTATGATGTTCTTTTTATAAGATTAATTTACGATTCACTGAGAACTTTCGAATAGTACTGAACAGATTTGAAGCACATGATGATTGACGGTACCAACGTTTTTTCTCATTTTAAACGAGACGAAAAACCTGTTAAATAAGGCACTTTATTAGACTAGCAAAATTTAGATAAGCAACAGATAGTTGAATTTGCTTTGTCATCCTCTGAATTTACTAGCTGACTCTCTATTCATACCGATTTTTTCTTTTCAGATAGAGATTATTAATCTATTAATTAGTCTGTAGATTTGATTTAGGTCAGGTTTGATATACATGACTTCATATTGTTCACATGGTTGTTTCAAAAATGGTTTTTGATTTGAATTAATACTCAAGTATGGATGAAATTCAATCAATAGTTTATTGTGCAGAATACGTATAATTCCATGCGTGTTGGCCAAATGCTGAATAAGTTTTGATTGATGATTTGGCGGCCAAATTTCCAAAACCATGCCGTTATCACCTTTAAGTAAAATGGACCTCGAATATAAGTCGATTGCAGTTTTATTAGGTAGTGTCTTGTAACACCATCCTAACTCATGAAGGTAACTTTGTTCAATAGCCGTCATAAGTTCTGGAAATGCGACATCAGTTAATTTGAAATCGATCACTTTTTTATATAGTCGTATATTTGTTCTGTCCAAGTCGTCAACTGGCATCATAGATTTATTCTTAAAATCATCGACGTACATTTCTTCCTCGGTCACAAACACAGGTGAATCGCTTCCAATAGTCCTATTATATACTTCTGGCATACTGCACGCTAAGAATTTTTATTATCGCCTCCGTTTGAGTCAAGCTTTGAAGCCTGGGCTTGCTTGTAACATACTTGAATTAGTTTGTCCGAAACACGGAAGTACTGCTGATGCTCAAGAATTTAACCTAGTTTTTTGACTTTCCATAACTTTACAAAAAAATTTTGATTTTGTAAATAAAGGAAGCTCCTTGATAAACTCGAACTATTTCAGAACAAAACAAAGTGTTCTTTAGGAAAACACACTCCAAAACTAAACCTTACGTGACAGCACCTGTGTTTCAATTCTCATAAAACTCTCTGCTACTGAACTGTGACTGAACGTTTTTAATTCGTCATGAATTTAACTTGAGTTTCAGAACAAACACGTAGGCTTAAACTGCATCAAACTTTCTCGCTCAACCGAACTAAAACGTTGATTCATACCAAGAAATATTATAGTTCACCTTTTCCTCTGCGTTTTGTGATGAAAAAGTTATAATTGTGAATAAGGATCAAATACAAACACAAAACTATAATAAGAGCAGAGAACATGTAGAAATATATCATTTCCGATTTTGATTGACGAATTAATTATTTCGCCAAAGAGCAGTGTGACAAATGGTTATGGACCCAGTGGAAGGTCTTTGCTGTCCTATCAGTCTGCGATCCAGTTGTAGCTGAAGACGGTCATACGTATGAGAGGAAAACCATTGTGAAATAGATAAATGATGGGAATTACAATAGTCCAATAACAAGAACCCGTATTTCAGTTAGAGGACTGCGTCCAAAATCAGCATCGGCATATATATAACACAAATTATTGAATAGTATATCGCACACAGCAAAAAGCATACCAAATAATATATTGCATAGGACAAACATAACACGCAATTACATAATAGATTAAACCCTGCTGGTACTAAGTAGCACAAAAGCGGATAGATTAACACTATCACGACGCATAATATATAGATTATCGCAAAGGATAAATAATATAATGCATAGAACAAATATAATACAGAATAAAATGCTGTCCAAAATATTATACGTACTAGAAAAGTCATAACTTTCCAAAAGTAAAGTAATTCTTTCCATATTAATTGTAATGCAGAACTTTTTGATGCCAGCAATGTTAAGTTAAATAATATTTCAAACAACCTAATCGTTTGTTTCACTATAGACATAACTAAAGACTTTACATAGCTAGAAATTACAGAAAAGCTAATTCTACGAGTTTTGGCCAACTTGTTCTATTATGCTAAGTGAGAAAGCATATTTACCTTATAAAAACATAATAAATAGCTTCGGTCACTCGTTTCCGATGCCGCCATTTGCCACAAGCACGATAAATCGAAATTTCCAGCACTGGTACTTTGTGCTCACTAATAGCATAAGTACGGTTCACTGCTTCGTAAACTCTGTAAAAACAGTGAAACAAGAATTATGCCTCTTGCAATGAAAATAAATGTCACAAGATTTGCCTTAAAGCACTTTTGGATGTGAGTTTTTATAGAGCATGAATTCGGCTAAACACAAATGTCTGCTATCCATATCAAGCTCATTGAAGCGATGTATCTATTAAAGCAGTTCTGCTACTAAGATACAAAGAAAGAGAAAACTCGAACGAAAGAAGCTTTAAGTTAAGAAAACGATAAACATCGTAGTTTGTAAAAATAATCCGCATTTTTGTATGAAAAGGGAAGTTACTACTTCCGTATTTTAACCAGATCATAAAAAGATAGACACTTACGTCGAAGTTATTTTTGTTAAACTTTGCATTTTCATTGGTAAAAACAAATAATAGATATTTTCAAGTTTGCCTGTAATATTACTCTTTTGAAAGAAGCGTATTCGACCAATTGCAGGAATGTCACGTTCTAAATGAGTATTAAAAAAAGATATTTATGTAAGTACAATATATGAACGCACTCGGAATACCTTGTTGAAACTTGTGATGAACAGTTGCCTCACGAGCGAAAGTGTCTTTTTCCAAAGAAAATTTATACATAATAACCAAGCCAATAAAAAAGAAAAACCAACACTGCCGAAACCCAGGAAGGAGTGGTCTTGGCTTTTGGATTGATTTTTCATAAGTTGTCTGCGTCGATTTATGAGTGATAGGTGACCTACGACCACTATGTGATTAGAGACCGAAGAAGACATTAAATTAGATTCAGTGCCGAAATTTTTTTGAATTACCGCACGATATCTGCCTGTGTTTTCACTGCAAAGTTCGGTCTTAATCCAACTATTGTGATGGGTGTTTCCGATACTGGACCAGTACAGTTACCGTCTAACAACCATGTTATAATTGCTTTTTTCTCGTATGTGTTGCCATCTTCAGCAATAACCGGATCGCGATAAAGTTCCCGAGTAAGCGGACAACATAGAGGTGCAAGATCAGACATGGCTGTTGCATTAAAGGCTAAGAAGATCAAACTTTATGGTGGAAAAATATTTCATCTTAGGTTTGTTGGAATTTTCGTAATTTATCTCATTCTTCACCCATTTTTTGCTTTTGCAATTCATTGTATTTTACAGGTAAATTGTGATTCTCTCGACTGTTGCCTCACAAAAAACAGAACAAAGATGATGAAATAGTCATCGACTGATAAGCCTAAACGTTTTATCAGTTTATTGTTTTCCTCCAAAACTCATGTGGGTAATTTTTCAACGTTTTTATCGACAGAAGCTCAAGAAAAAAGAAAATTTTCTGGTGCGCTTATTCGAACGATATAAACATATGTCCCTAATTTTTCATACTTGAGAGAGGGTCCATGAGAAAATCGACCGATACGTATGAACACCGGCATTTGAAAAATCTTTTCTTTTGAAATGAGTTACACCATTCGAAAGAGCATAAAAAGTTAGGCTTAAAACCAAATTTTTAGCCTTTTCTGAAAACCCCATCACGACATATGAGAAGATCTTTGAAACTGCCCTCGGATCCTCTTTTATAAATCTTTAAAAATTTTTCGAAAATTTTGATGAATTTCAAAGAATTCCGTTTAGCACTTTAGAAAACAGTATATTACTATTGCAGACCCCACTATTTTGGTATCAAATAACGCATCTTGATTAGATCTATTAAATGCACTACCATAGACCAAGATTCTCAAATACAAATCGTGTCTAAAGATGTTCGAATGTATTATGTCTTACTAAAAAATATGTAAAAATGGGTAAAAATAGCCATTTTTTTATGTTCTTGCTCTAAAAGTATATCACAGAAGTTTTTCTCCAAAAATCTTTTAGCGTCAGGAGACAGCTCCTGAAAAACTGCATCTTCTTGTTCTGCAAGTTCTTGAAAACAAACACCGATTTCTTCAAGAAACAGCATGTAGTTCTCGTGAACAATCACTCAGTTCTTGAGGAAAAAGCATGAAGTTGTTGTGAACAAACACCGATTTTGTCAGCTAAAAACATGAAGTTCTTCTGGAGAATCATTTGTTTCTAGAAAAAAAAGTTCTTCTGCAGAAACACCGATTTTTATACTGAAAAGCATGAAGTTCTTGTGACGAATCGCTTATTTCTTTAGGAAAAAGCATGAATTTCTTGTGTAGAAAGACCGATTTCTTCTGCTAAAAACAAGTTCTGGTGGAAGAACACCGATTTCTTCAGGAAAAAGCATGCATTTCTTATGTGGAAAGACCGGTATCTTCAGGATAAAACATGAAGTTCTTGTGGAGAAACACAGATTTTTTCAGGTAAAAACATGAAGTTCTTGTGGAGAATTATTTATTTCTTGACAAAAGAGTTCTTCTGCAGAAACACAGATTTCTTCGCGATAAAACATGAAGTTCTTGTGACGAATCGCTTCTTTCTTCGGGAAAAAGCAGGAATTTCTCGTGTAAAAAGACCGATATCTTCAGGATAAAACATGAATTTCTTGTGGACAAACACCGCTTTCTTCAGGTAAAAACATGGAGTTCTTGTGGAGAATCCTTTGTTTCTGGACAAAAAAGTTTTATAAGGCAGCTACAACATCCTAAGGACAAAGCAACAGAAAAGAAATCATTGATTTTTATATACAAGATCTACACTCTAAAAAAAAAATGCGACTTCAATGATGTGTCTGCTGAGAAAAAGTGTCTTGCATGTGACTATATTGCGTCTTCAAAATAATAGGTGTCTTCTATGTCTTCAATGTGTCTACTAGTAGGCATATAGAAGTCACATTGGAGTCACATGGAAGGCGTGTGAACGAGAAAGACGCTTAGTAGTCACATCATTCCGCCTTCCATGTGTCTGTTTTTAATCAAGGTCCTTCACGAAATGTCAACGTAAGAGGCTAATAAGACTAAAAACTAATGTGCCTGTGTGGTTCAGTAGTGAACACATTCGTCTCGTAAGCGCGAATAGACCGAGTTCAATTCTTGACAGGAACAAAATTTTTTTAATGCGTCTTTTCTAGAAGACACATCAAAGCGACTTCGACAAAGGCGCTAAAATACGACTAAATGAGATCCGACTTACGTGTCTTTAATATGACTAGAACGAAGACGCTATAAAGTGACTGCCAGGTAAAGTCGCATCATGTGTCTTCAGAGAAGACGCTAAATTGCAGCTTTTTGGGATCCGACTTGTGTGTCTTCCTGGAAGTCGCATTTTATTTTAGAGTGTAGTTTTATTGAAGAAAATTGATTTCTTTTCTGTTTTTCTGTCTTTAGGATGTTGTAGCTGCCTTATAAAAATCACGAAAACATGATAAACAATCAGTAAAAGAAGACGACTAAAGAAAGAAAATTGCAGAAGTCAACTGTCAACAAAGAAATAAAAACAATTTTAAAAATGAAGTTTATTATGTACAGAAATTGAATTCATATTTTTCTTCTTATTCTGTCTTGCTTGGCTTTGTTCTAGTCTATCGATTTGTGCTGTTTTTTTTTTTTCTATTCGTTTAATAACCAGATTGTCGAATATATTATCTGTATGTGTGGCAATTAGAAAGTGGTAAAGTGAAACTAACTTACAATTGTGAGGAACACAGCTTGCAATGTCGACAGCCTCTGTGTCTAC